TACTCCCTGGCTCTAAGAGCTAGTGAATCAGAATCAGTATTTTACCCTGGCAGTTTGTTTGCACATTAAAGTTTAACAAGCCAGACTCTAGCTACGCATATAGTTTTCAACAGGAATATGCCCTTTGATTGGCTGTTTTTAATAGACCTCAGCCTGACTAGGGAGATCTTCCTTGCCCTCTGAAATGATGAAAACATAGGCACCAGCCAATGCCTATGGTAAACTTTCTTGACTCTGAGGATGGGCCTGAGATAAGGTGGCTTCATTTCGAGATGAAGCCACTAACACTCCTTTCCTTTCTCCATTCACATAGTGAATACGTGAGAGCTGAAGTATCCCCAAGGGTACCCTGTCCATACTCATTAGAAATAGGGATTGTTTTTACTTGGATAGAGAGAGAGCTGCATTAACCCAAATTAACCTGAGCTAGTTAAAGGCACTAGCCTAGAATCCACTGGTCCCGATAGCCAGTGAGATGGCATCTGGGGACCACATAGATCAACAGATGCTGCTTTGTCAAAATTACAAAATCCAACTGAGTCACTTCCACTCACCTCTACAGAAGACAGGGTGGGAGATGGCAGTAAGCCAATCTCGAGAGAGAGAGAAAGCCCAAAACAGCAGAGAGGCCAGCTCCTGGTCCTTCAGTAAAGGCAGGGCCCACAAATTCATCTCTTGACCAGACTTTTATTTCCTTGGGGAGTCCACCATCTCTTAATCACAAAAGCAATAAGAATTTCCAATATGTTCCTCTGCCGTGCCGAATCAGTTGTTTCAGCTGCCAGTCATCAGCTCTGTCTGGAGATTCACCTAAAAGCCTTCTTCCAGCCTTGAAAGCAGCAGTGACCCCCGAGGTGACACCAGACAATGAAGGCTGACACCCCATCGGCAGCTTGTGTGTGCTGGTTGATTTGATCACAACGGTTTTGTTAAGATTGCCCGGGATTCTGGAGGAATCAGTTCTCTTCCTTAGGCTTTGATCGATAGGCCTCATATGCCCTATTGGTTGAGTTTGGAAAATCATTTCGAGTGTGTATGGAAGGAACTTTTTTTTCTTTTGAATGACCTTGCAATTGCACTCTAACATGGAGATTTTCTTCCTGGTATTAAAAAAAAAAAAAAAAATCAATTTAGAAAAGCCAGAACATTTGTCTGGAAGCATGTGTTGTGATAGGCAGGTCAGTGTGAAATCTGCAGGTGTTCAAACTTCAAATATTGAGGGACATTAGCACCTGCCTGTTATAGAGTAGGGCCTGAAAAATTGTATTTGAATAAATGAATGAATAAAAGAATATTTTTAGACTGTATTAAGTAAGTTAGAATCTTGGATGTATGATTGCAGTGTAGTTGGAAATTCCTAGAAGTCAGTGTTTGTAGAGAGGCATTTCTTGTGCCACAGTGACAATTTTTGAGAAATGTGGGTATTTGGTAGAGCCCAGGGGCAATCCCACTGAAGCTATAGCTCTCTGACTTCAGAGCTTTGTCCATTTTATTGGAAAGGTATGTGAGATGGGGTTAGCTGTATTTCAGAAAGCTATGGCTGTGTCTTTTGTTACTTCCCCTAAATCTCTGGTCATTATATTGGTCATAGGTAACCTCTATAACCAGCAGTCTTGCCCTGGACTCTGCATACAAAGTGTTCTATATAGACACTGAATTATAAGCTTCTACTTGGTTATCTCACCAGAAGAGAGTTTGTCCTATACTTCTCATTCTACCTATTAAAAAATAGATAATTTCTTATGCCCTATGTAAGAAACTGTCATTATACTTTCCAAATTCAGACTTTAAATTGAACACTAGAGCTTTCCGTTATTCTCATGGTGCCCCTGTTCAAAGAGTTTACTGCCTGTTCCAGTGTCACTCACTGGCAGTAGCAGTTGATGGAAGAGCTGTAGATGTGTGTTTGACTGTTGGTCTGTCAACACTTGATCTCAGCACAGCTTAAGGGCATGTTTCTAAGCCTTCAGTCCTGTACCAGACACCTCTTATGCCCCACTTCGCATCCTCTCTACTACCTATCCACATGTTCCATTGCTATGGCAACCAGCTGCACCAGCATAATTTGGTAGCTCCTCCCCTCAACTGCACCATGCGCCCCTGGCTTTCTGCCCTCAAGCTTCTCTGATGTGCTGGTATTGAGCATCTTTGAGAACCTCCGGCCACTCTGATACATGTGCCTACTTGGAAGTGTGAGAGAAGTGCATTCTTGGGCAACTCTTGATTAGTGGGGAGTAGGAGCCGGTGAGTAAATGTTTCTTTCTGTCTTGTCTCCTACCCACCGAGCCCCAAGATGGACTGCATTGGCTGGCATTTAGATCATGTTCGTCTTGTTTGCTCAACAAACGAACATGAATGATGCTGTTGGAGATACTAGGCACCAAGTCTCTTGTTCCCTTGCCTATCCCTGGACCTAGTTCAGTATCTACCGCATAGTAGATACTTCATAAATATTTGTGGAATAATTGACTATTGAGAGAAGAATGAGAAGAATACAAGTAACTCTGCACACAGAGCAGAAGTATTAAAATAAATAGACAAAGGTAGAGGGCATTATAGGCAAAAGCACAGTAGCGTAAATTGTCACGATAAATTTGAGGTACAGTCAGTTATCTGGTTTGGCCAGAGCTTAAGGCATATTGTGGGCCACGAATAAGATAGTATCTTAAAGCACGTTGCATATTGTTTGATGCTCTACACTAGTAAGTCTTCTATTTTGGTAGAATTGATGTACGGAGGTCTGTTTCTCTCACTAAACTGCAACCACCTTAAAGACAGGGACCCACATATAGCAGAGTGGCTAGCATATAGCAGGCACTTAATAAATATTGAGTTTAAAATAATGGTTGGAGGATGGTTGGATGAATGGACAGTGGATAAATGGATGATGGACAGTTGGTCCTGGCTATTAAATGGGATGAAAGAAAGGCCCTTAACGAGGCCTAGCTTTCAGTGTACAGCAAGCTGCAAATGTCCCAGCCTATTTCATTGCAGCTAATGCAAAAATGTAGCTAAAATAGCTAATGTAGACCTCTGGGAAGCACCACATTTTCTATTGAACCATCAAGTAGAACACTAAGCTCACACTAAGTTTCCCCATTGCCCATGGTGTTATAAACAGCAGGGGCAACACTTCCCTTGTGATAAACACACACGTACATAGAGAAATACCTCCAGGGGATAATAAGTGATGGGTGCATTCAGTAACTACAACAAAACAAATAGGAGAGCTCACATTTCTACATTAAGGTAGAAAAAAATATTAGCTGTTTCCGGTGTCTCTGTGACCTCTTATTATTCCATTAGTTTTTGGAATAGTATATAAAACACTGAACTCCATGCTGACAAACACCAGTACTGAAACTATTGCCACAGTGAATCCAAACAGCCTTCTCCCTTGGGTAAAATTATTATTTGGAATACAAGCAGAATTGTGGTTGCCTGAGCTAGTTGAGCATAAATGATGGTAGTGATTCATAAGGTGACTCTAGTGAGTTTGCAAATGTGCAACTTTTCTGGAGACTGATGCACAGCAGATGCTCTGCATTGCCTCTTTGAGCTGGTAAGCATTTTCTAGTCTCATCACCTCTTCAGGACATGGAGGGCTGTGGAGGATGCAGGCTTCTGAGGACAAGTGTTAACCTGACACAATGCTGACTTACCAGAAATAAACCCTTCAAATCAGATCACACCCGTCAGTAGATTTTTGAGCGGGAAGATGATAATTCTGCCTCTTCACATGTTCCTTTAAGTACTTGAACTCTTATTCCATTGGATTAAGCTTTGGGGGGCTGGGTCATCTGGGGTATTAATTCTATCCAGGAGAGGTTGGAGAAAAGTGGTACTGGTCTAAAAATACAGCTCCCTGAACTTTTAAACCCTCAAATCTCTGATTATGTGGCTTCTTTTCCTTAATCCTTAGCTTGATTTCTTTTATTTTTTTTAAATCCATTTATTCTTTGATATCACTAGAGTAAGTTCAAAAAGAGCAAGGATGGACATAAAGCTTAGCATAGCTTTGTGTAGAGAAAGAAGTTAAAGAGAGTGAGCATAATGATGCTAGTATGATTGCACTATAATGAGATGTCTGCTGAGTAGGTCCCAGACACTGAGAGCCTCTCTGATAGTGATAGACTCTGCAAGTGACAAGCCCCAGTTTCTTCTTTGACATTGTACCAATTAGCCAATCTAAATGGGCACATATTTAAGTTTGAGGTCACGTACAGTTCTCAAAGGCTAGGCTGCCCCTACGAATGAGGCTGTAACTCACTCTGTCTGTCATAATAGGCAACAGTGGGAGAATATCCCAGCGGTGTGTTTGAGACCTCTTTTTCATATTTTGTGGTATTAGGAGAGGACTCATTTTTGATGAAGACCCAGTACATCCATCCATCACACCATTGGAGAAATGCCGAGGGTCAGTTAGACTCTAAAGTTAAAAGAGTGTAGGATTCTGCATTGGTGCTAGGATCAGGGGAAACTCCCTTCTCATTACATTGATTTAGCGGTGACAGAGAGAGACCCCAGCCTGACCCACAGTGGCTTACGGCAGCGATAAGAAGAGGAGGAAGGCCTATGTTGTACCTTTCTAGGTCAGCAGAACAAATACTCTGTTACCTGACTCCCATGCCCCGTGACTGAAAAGTGCTAATACAGAGAACTTCACCCAGAAGCAAACATTACAAGATTGACTAATTATACAGTGTCCAGACCGGGAACTGGCAGGGCAAGGCAGTGCTTATGGGAAACCGTGAACTTCAGCCTGGAGCCAGCTGAGTGCAAGCTCCTCAGGCAGCCGTAAGGGCATATTAGCTGGGGAACCTGTTCTACCATGAAAACAAAAGCTGTGTATATCCAATAAGGGGAGAACTGTTCTCTTAAAACCACCAAGAGAAAAACAAACCAGCCCCTAAAATATGCTTGCTTGTCAGCCTTTGGTATTTAAAAAATGTGGGCTTCACTTAGGGCGCAGTCTGATGCTTGTTCTCCCTTGATTTCAGCTTCCATTTTCTCCAGCAATCATTCAAGCCGAAGCGGAACAGCTGCTGGGGCCGTGCCACCCCCACATCCTGTCAGTCACCCTTCTCCGGGACATAATGTACAGGGGAGCCCCCACAACCCCCCCTCCCAGTTACCTCCACTCACAGCTGTGGATGCGGGAGCTGAGAGGTAAGGCCATCTGTCTCTCTCTTCTAATAGGTGTCTCCGCCAAACCTCCCTCCACACAGAGAAGTGCTTTGACAGTTGCTGAATTTTATTAATAAGCCATTGGTGGGTTGAGTTACCCAAAGGTGACATTTTAAAAGTACATACACAAAGCACGTGGAACAAATATCTCATTATTTGTTCTATTTTCCACGGGAAAAAAATGAAAAGATATTGGCTATAGCCAACTGAAGTGTCTGATACTGGGAAAACACATCAGAATGTGTCTGTCTTTCCTATCTTACCTTAGTTTATTTCAGGGACTCAATTTTAAGAAAATGTTCCTGCAGGCAGAAATCCTTTCCAGATGTAAGATGGTCCCTTTTAGCACATAGATCAGCAGTGTTAGCTTGAGAGTATAGCATAAAAGGGCACAGGATATTGTATGGGTGACCTGAAAGGGCTGTTCACTGAATATTTTATGTAGATACCACCCTCATAAGGAGTTTCTGGGAGAAAATTTTTAAATCTTGACACTTGGGTTCCTGTCTTTGAACCGCGCAACCCTCTAGTGATGTGGACAGCATGCCGTTTTTCTTGTTCTCTCTGCTTGTCATCTGGCTCAAGGTGACCTACTTAGGGGTTACTCTCAGAAATTCACAGGGAAAAAATGTTCCTGTGGGGACCCCTGTGCAATTTTTGAGTGTTAAGCATTTTGTGGGCAAACTAATGGGTTGAATAGGCAGCAAGAATAAAAGTTTTGTCTTGGATTTCACCAGCAATCTGTGGTTCCATCATTATTGGCGTGGTCTATGAACTTTTAAAATGTGTTTTTTAAGTCCAGTAAACCACATATTTTTAAGTTTAGGGCTACCCCTTTATTTAGTAATACATCTGTTCACTTAATAAGAATCTGCTATGTGTTGGATTTTGTTCTGGGTGCTGTGGATGCAAAGACTATTAAAGCATGGTCCTGCCCTTACAGGACTGGTGGTGAAGACAGACGTGTAAATAAAGTACAGTAATGTTATTTGAATAAATGATGTAAATGAGGTCACTGGACCTCAAAGAGGATTTTCCTAACTCTGCCTCACAGAAGGAGGGAAAGACTGAATAATCTAGGCACTGAAGGAAGACTAAGGGTTTTCCAGTTGGATAAATGGCGAATTGCTTCCAAGGCAGCAAGAGGAACATAGGCAAGAGATGAAGAGGGGCAAATACACACGTGGAGGGAGATTCCAGTTGCTCAAGTGGCATCGTCCACAAGTGTACATGGCTCTTTATTAGGAGAGAAATGAATTGGATTATCATTATAGAGAAGGAACTCTCTATAATGTGACAAGATGGTAGAGTAATTGAGGCTGGAAGCAAGGAAAGCGGGTAGGGAAGGCAAGAAGGAGGTTGCCCCAGGAGTCCTTGCAAGCAATCTGAACACGTGGACTGAGACAGCAATAAGGGTGTGGGATGTATTTAAGCGGCAGAATTACTGATTCATAATTATATAGAGAGTAAAGAAGAAGGGCCAAAATTTATCCCTGAGTTTCACCTTTAGACATCAAGATGGAAAATTTTGCCATTAATCAAAATTGAAAATAGAAGAATAGTGATAGAATGGAGGAAATGGAGGTGTTGAGTAGAGGAGAGAGTGGGAAAGAAAGAGCAATAATAAATGGACTTTAGTTTTTGAGTTTTAGGTGATCGTAAAAGATCTATGTGGATATATCTGATGGGAAATTAGAAGTATAGACCAAACGTCAGACTTATTTTAACAGTCCTATGTACACGTTAAAGTATATGCAAATTATTGGCCGTCTCCACAGGACCCATCAGCAAAGCAGTATGAGTGATAACCATTTTTAAGTTCACAGCCACTGGAGACAGGCAGTCTTGCCAGTTATCACATGTATTTCTATAAGTCGAGATGAGTTTATTTTAGCATTTTATTTAATTTCCAGTTAGGTTTTAAATATTAGCTATGGGCGTTCCATTCATCTTATTGCATTCTGCCTGGTGGCTGAGAATCATACTCCACGAGGTAGTGTTGACTTTAAACTAATAGAAAACCAGAAATATCTCCAGCAAAATAGGTTTATTTGGAACAAGAAAAAACTGCAATTCAGGACATGTAGTTTAATGGTGAACCACATGGAAATCCAGAGAAACAAAGGAGAAAAATAATTTTACAGATTTGGGAAGAACTGTTGTAAAGGAAGAGATCATTGGAGGAAACTGCAAGTTTGAAGTATAGGGACTTTCGATTGGCTGAGTTAGGGCAGTCTCCCATTAGCTGAGCTATTACTGGGCAAGGAAGAATCATTTCTTCTGCCTGCTGAGGTAATAAAGTAGTATCACTTTCTGTCGGAGATATAAGGAATGTCTCTTCATGTTGGGGTCAGTAGTGTGTGTTGAGTGACCTGTACGTGAGAGCTCTCTCTCTAGCCTCCCGACTCCATTTTAAATGAGATTTCTGTTTATTAATTTTACACTAGTGAAGCTAAGAAATATCATTGATTGGGATCTCTTCTTTTTCATCTCATTATTAGCCATAATGACTCTTTACACGAATGTTAGAGGAAAGCAATCTATGTGTCTTATTTTTGTACACAGATATTAAAAGAATAAATGTAGAAAAAGATCTTAGCCATTATTGGAATCAAAAACAACAACCCAAACACCTTATACCTGAATCCCAGCTCCTATAGTTGCTAATCATTTGAACATGTTTCTTAGATACTCCTGGTGCTTGGTTTTTTGGGGGTTTTTTTAACATTTTATTTTGTAATTTTTAATTTTTTTATTTCTTCTTTTGAAAGTCTGTAACATATGAAAAACTTCAAGAATAGTACGATGAACATCCATACACCCTACTTCCACATTCACTCATTGTTAATATTTTGCCACCTTCTCTCTTTAGCTATCTCCTTTTCCCTTCCTCTCTCTGACTTGGGAGATCCTTTATTAGTTTGTTTGCCTGCCTGCTATTCCTGAACTATCTGAGAGATTGGTGCATATATTGAGCTTCAACCTTACTTATTTCAGTAGAGATCCCCTATATAATCAGTATAATTATCACACTCAGAAAATTTAACATTGATAAAGTATTATTATCTAACATGTAGGCAATATTCAGATTTCCCCAATTGTGTGAATAATGTTTTTTATAGCTAGTTTCTTTTTTTCTTTGTTTCCTTTTATGATTTAAGATCTAAAAAGGATCACAGTTCTCATTTCTTTTTGGTGTTCTTGAATCTAATGAAGTTCCACAGCTTTTAAAAAATTTATTATCATCATCATCATTATTGTCTCTCATGACATTGACAGTTTTTAAGAACTTGGGACATTTCTTTTGCAGAATGTTTTACAGTTTGGATTTGTCTGATTGTTTTCTACTAAACGGATTCATTGTAAACATTTGGCAGGAATACCACATAGACGATGTAGTATTCCTTAGCTCTTTTGAGCCTTAGTTTGCACCTTATAGAGAATTAGGAGTAAATGAACCAAGGCAGCAAAACATGTACAATATTACATGACATGAAGCAGACACTCAGTAGCGGCTAACATAAAGACAGGTGACCTTGGCTTGTCTGAGAGATTCAGGTTTAGAAGCCAGAGCATGTTAAATGATTACAGTCGTTGATCATGTGAATAATCATGGAAGGAAAAAATGTATATTTTACTTCTGTGACTTTGTCTTGCTGGTCTGTTCTTCCTGGAGGATATATGCCCCATCCCTGTGCCAGCCCG